TTCTCAAACGTTCTTAGTTCCTACAAAACTGATTCTGAAGTAAGAGAGGAAAATATACGTGAAAGAAAATGTGTATTTTTAAAACACAAAAACTAAAAATATATTGAAAATTGACCCAAAGTATGAAAACATTGAAAGTAGTAAGTTCAATTAATAATGCAAACCATACGCAACCATATTGTTAAAAACACGATTAAGATGCTATTTAAAGTAACATGTAGGCTACCACCAGTCATAATAGACAAGGAAAATATATACTTAGTGAAAAGTTTTATGTATAATAATATATCATTTTATATGTTTACACGTTTTGATTTCGACATTATAAGGACTATGGCTACGATATAAAGTGTAGAACGTATCGGTTCGTAAAAATATAAAAAAATATGATGAAATGTATGAAATAAAGTAAAACAATAACCTCATGCTACGAGATGCTATATAAAAATTGAGCGAAAAGAAATTAAAACTATCTTAATCTAAAAATATTCAGCTTACATTTTTTTCATTGAAAATTTACAAAAGATTTCTATAAAGTACTTTTAAACTCTATTAACTTAGAGTGTTTTCCTTCAGGGAAGAACAGTGTACAAGACCGAGTTGGATATAAGGTTTAGATTAAATTGAGATTGGCATCCTGAATGCATAGAGACGCAAAACAGTAAACAGTTTCTACATGTTTATAGAGCTGAGAGCTATGTGTGTTATTTCTCGTGAGCCAGTCTACATTTCCACTTAAACATTCTTTAGCACATAGACGTGTAACATCTTTTCATATACATTTTTACAATTTTAGTTTCCGTAATTGAAATATATACAATCCGATGGTTGTTTTAACTATAATGTAGGTTATCAAGCTTAAATGTTTTAGGCAGTGAAAAGTTAAAAGAGTAAATGCAAATACCCCAGTTAATGTTAAATACAAATGGCAAGTTAATTTGTTCATAAATAAGACTGTGATTTGAAAGTAACAAAAAATTAAAAGGAACTTCTAAATTTGTTTTACAATCGCTATTTCCTAATTTAAATCAGTTTTAACATAAATTAATAAAACGGAAACTTGGCAAATAACAGTTTCATAGCAGAATTTCAAACCTTTGATGATATTCAGATTTTTTACTTAAAGAAGGGGTCGCAACGAATAGATTTATATGCTAAACGCCAGGTTTCTGACTTTAAAACATCTTAATTTTTGTTCAAAAGATTTTATAATTAGATAAAAATATGTTTCCGTTTTGTAGCTGAAGTTTATGTTTATTTTATTACTTTAAAGTTTTATTATTAAAATTAATTATGATTCTAACTGATTCTTGATTTATAACTGACTCCATTCTGTACAAAATGTGCAATATGAATAAAGTTATCTTGATTGATTGATTGATTTTTTTTTTGTTTTGGTAGGCCTATAGTTCTAAATTGAACGTCATCGTGTCTAAAGAAAGCTATTTTAAATGTGTCTATAGGTTTAAATACCTCCATAGCAGGATTTCTGAATATGGGCTAACTTATATATTTGTAAACAGTTAAAAAGAAGGGCATTCACATCAAATATTCAACAAAGACAAAATGCCTCAATATACAAAATAAAGCTTTTTTATGATTGTATTGATATATTAAAGGGTGAAAGCTATACTTAACTTTAGGAAAATCGCAAGAAACATCAACATGAATTTATTTATTTTATATATTAAAAATATAAAGTAAAAAATCTGATAAAAACCCATCAATCTACAGTGTTTCACTTAAGTATGTTGCCTGCTTTATTTTGTAGAACCCCTTATTAGAACCTTATTACATCGACCCACTTAATTTAACTTATGATGGATATGAGGACTTAAAATCCATTCAAGAAGCTTAGATGAACTTATTTTATTTTATTTTTTTAAAGTGTTTAAATTGTCAGTATCTTTACAATTCAGTACTCAATCTTAAATTTCAGGCTTCTACAACAATTCTAGCAGTCTTTCATTTCATTTCGATTGATCGTGTATGTATGCTGATCAAAAAATATGTGCCCCACAAAAATATAAACAGAAATTCCAACTATAACAGAATAATATTAGCAGTATTTTCCATATCATGTTTTTCTACTTTAACTGCACATTACACATGAATGAATTGTTCTAAAGCTCAGTTTGTTGTGATTTCACACCACTGAGTTACTACAAACCTTTACATCCATATATTTACATTACAACTCAACGCTACTGTTTTACTTTGCTTTTTTACTACTGTTTCCACTTACTAGTGTGTTTTCTTTCATAAAACCTTGATTGAAACAAACAGCGAAATTACACATAGATAAATCCAAGATTAGCTTTAACAATGTTTATGTTGAATGAAATTAATGAGTTTGTGCGATAATTATTGTTCAACTATGTTCGTCTACACAAATCACTGTATGGAATTGGTTTTACCTGTTGCGCTTGCGCCTAACAGTCATTGTTGTATGATGTCATTCAGTTTTACTCAATAAACAGAAAATAGATTATTTACTTCGATTATATATTTGAATAATCTAGGCATGAGCTAGAGCTAGGCTCATGTTGACGGGCAAACTAAATGTTAAGAGTTACCTTTCGTTTTATTTGCATTAGCACTTATAAACAAAATTTCAAATGAACTTTTGTGAATCAATGGACCACTAATATGAGTTTTGAGGCCAGTGGGGTATACAAAACACAAAACAGTGGGATATTCAGTTGGGACTTCAAAAAGGAATGTCCGTTGAAATATAAATAAAATACGAGTAAAATATACAAAATTAATCAAGTCTAGCCTAGTTCACTTCAAAAACCACCGTCTCTCTGTGGTATTAGCTCTTATACATAGGTCATAAAAGCGATATTTTGTAGTGTTATATTTTATACGTTTTGTTGCTATGAATTTCATTTAGTAAAACTAGCCGGATAACTATAATATGGGGTGGATAAAGAAAATTTCATCCATTGAAAAAGCGTGTTATACAATTATTCCCAGTAAAACCGTAATTAATACTGAAACTCTGAAATAAAAATTCTTGCTTGCATAAAAAACTAAAGGTATAAATAATATTGTTTATAATTTCATCAGGTCTAAATACATTACAACCATCACATTACTTGTGATTTTATTGATTTATTTATATTGATAGGGCTCGGTTTTTTTTCTGGAATTAAATTTATAAATATAAATTTGATTCAAAACACATGTATAGGTGAAATGGTCAAAACAACAAGCAAACAACGCAAACGAAACTGAACCAACAGAGATAAGGGCGGAAGCGCCCAAGCCCAAATGACCTCAGTGTTACGCTTGAATTGTCAATTTGTTCATTTATACCTAGCGCCGCCTCATTTCAAGTTGGGAATATCCCTCTGTCCCACATACTACGACTATTGAGGAGCAATGAACCCATAGTTTTGCTAAAAAACAGTCTTTGTCTTTACTATTTATCTATTTTTGTACTTAGGGGAAAACTTGTAAACATTCGAGCAGGCCCTTTGATTTTATTATTGAGAACCTGCTTGCAAAGTGTTATACACAAGACTTTAGTTGAGTCTTAAGATAAGAGTTAATTTTATTGTCAAAATCAGACGTATGAACAATAAAAAAAAACAGATTACTTTACGTCAAACGGCACATTTAAGTCCGCACGTGGGGCTGCTTGAGAAATAAACCTTTGGAGTCTGAAGAAGCGTTACAACATTTTGTACCTATTCAACCATTTATTGTAGTTTACGAAACGATTACGTAATGGTGTAAACGACACGAGTAGAAATTCAAGGTACGAGCCTTGGCGAGTACCTTAAAAACTTCTACGAGTGTCGTTAGCACTATTTACGCGAGTTGCGTACACTACTTTACCTACGACAGTGTTTACCTACGAAGTTATTAGTAGTGGTTTTTAAAACACTGCCGTAGGTACTTTACCTACGACAGTGTTTACCTACGAAGTTATTAGTAGTGGTTTTTAAAACACTGCCGTAGGTAAAGTAATGTACGTGAACTACTATTTAGTAACATAGTAGGAGTAGACTACAAAGTCGCTCTCAAGCGAGTACTTCTTGTGGGATTAGCCGGGTTATACCTGGTAGTATGTAAGCTAATAATCCTGCATTTAGATTCCAGGGTGGCGTTCGAAGAAGTACTCGTTGAGGATGGGGTCGTAGTTGGCGAGACATCTAACATACAATATGTTACACACTAACCTATAGTAGTTGAGGACCTGAGTGAAGACTCCAGGGTGGTGGTCGAAGAAGTACTCGTTGAGGATGGGGTCGTAGTTGGCGAGACATCTAACATACAATATGTTACACACTAACCTATAGTAGTTGAGGACCTGGGCAAAGACTCCAGGGTGGCGGTCGAAGAAGTACTCGTTGAGGATGGGGTCGTAGTTGGCGAGACATCTAACATACAATATGTTACACACTAACCTATAGTAGTTGAGGACCTGGGCAAAGACTCCAGGGTGGCGGTCGAAGAAGTACTCGTTGAGGATGGGGTCGTAGTTGGCGAGACATCTAACCTACAAATCCTACAGTGGTATGTAACACACTAACCTATAGTAGTTGAGGACCTGGGCGAAGACCCCAGGGTGGCGGTCGAAGAAGTACTCGTTGAGGATGGGGTCGTAGTTGGCGAGACATCTAACCTACAATATGTAACACACTAACCTGTAGTAGTTGAGGACCTGAGTGAAGACTCCAGGGTGGTGGTCGAAGAAGTACTCGTTGAGGATGGGGTCGTAGTTGGCGAGACATCTAACATACAATTTGTTACACACTAACCTATAGTAGTTGAGGACCTGGGCGAAGACTCCAGGGTGGCGGTCGAAGAAGTACTCGTTGAGGATGGGGTCGTAGTTGGCGAGACATCTAACATACAATATGTTACACACTAACCTATAGTAGTTGAGGACCTGGGCGAAGACTCCAGGGTGGCGGTCGAAGAAGTACTCGTTGAGGATGGGGTCGTAGTTGGCGAGACATCTAACATACAATATGTTACACACTAACCTATAGTAGTTGAGGACCTGGGCGAAGACCCCAGGGTGGCGGTCGAAGAAGTACTCGTTGAGGATGGGGTCGTAGTTGGCGAGCGCCTCCGTGAGCCTGGACAGCCGCGTCGCCGGGATCTTCTTCAGCGTCGCCTTGTACGTCTCGTATCTGATCCCACCAACGTTCAGGATGATCCTGTTCTCGCCATCCATGGCGGCTTCGTCAGCTCACCGTCATGATAACTTTCCTGTAAAAATGTGTTTTTAGTTTACTTTAAACTAAAATGCGAAGACGCAAAATTTATTTTTTTCGGCGTGAGGAATTTTCTTGAGAAATTATTTAAGAAAGAAATTTTGGCATCTGCTTGTATTATTTTTCGTCCTTGAAGCTAGGAACGACCCCGGAATTTGTTCACATTGCTTTAGGCTAGACTTATGCGTTGCGACATTATCACAAGGATAAAATCCATTGGCGGGATTTGGACCTGGGACCTCAGGGACCAAAGTCCTGCACTCTAACCACTAGACCAGCTCGCTCCTACGTACTAACATTATGATCATAAGTTTTTTGACAAACAATTGGCAAGTTTACCTGAAGAAATAGCATATGATTTATTCCAGTGAGCGCTTCGGTAGTTTTATTTGAAAACTATAAATCTTTGAATAAGCAACATTGGAATCAAATGTTCTTCCAGATAGTTTAAAATTGTCTTTGTACATATATATATTATTTAGTGACCTGATCTAAACCACTTAATTACATATTCCGCGTAAACTAAATGTAATAATTTAAGGCCCGAGGCACTTAAAACCGATATCAAGTCGGCAATACTTCTTTATGTTATTCTCGTGTGAAATTGTGACCCAACCATCCAATACTTGCGAAGTTGAGATATAAACATGCAAATACTGTTCAAATAGAAACATTCGCAGTCGAGTAAGGTACTGTTGCGTCAACATTAAATATCCACGTGGATTAAAATATTTGCATTTTTATACTTAACAAATTATAGAGCTACTCAAGGAACAAGCAATTTATTTGTTTATTCATGAATATCCTTGAGACGTGATACACATAAATTCCCTCAAATCGAAATATAAATGTAAAAATGTTATTTCAAATTAGATCATCTATATTTATGTCTCAGGAGGGAATATTTTCTAATACAGCGTTTTACTTATTGGGTGGATATGCTATGGATATTATAAAGTTCGTCTTACCACACTTTTCTTTGTATTTACACCTGCTGTAAATATTTCAAACATGCTAAATACGTAAAATAAGAGACAGTAGTTACGAACGACGAGTCAATTGGGTCATTTGCAGGCTTAATCCGAGACTCGACTAAGAGTAAAACATCGTTCTAAAAAATAGGGTATTGTGTAATGGCATTTCTATTCCATCTAAATACAATATTTAAACTATTCTGAGGAACGCCTATCTGGACAACTCTATGAAAATTCCGAAAGTTGTCGAAGATATTCACCGCCAGCTCCTAAAGTTCAACTTAGAGAAATGCTCAATGGGCGTAGAATTATACTGTGATCTATAAAGTCACTACAGACGATAAATACCTTTCCTCTACCTAACTCAACTTGTAAGCAACATTGCATGTATTTAGGTTTGAAATGTTTGTCCAGATCCAAAATTGTTAAATTTATACACAATGTATTGTATTAAGTAAAATTTAAAACAAAATTCTTTAAAACAAAATTTAAAACAAGCAATGAAACTTTGCTTAAAATAGGATTCTTAGAACCTAAGTTTCTGATGGGTTTATAGTTTTCAGCAGCTATGCTCCTCAGCCATCGTAGTTTACTGCAAGCGAGAAGCTGTTAAAACTTATATTATGTTTCAATTAAACCTGGTTAAAATCAACCATTCAATGTGGTTTGAGTCTTTACATGTTTAAAAACCGAAAGAAGAATAATAATATGTTTGGTACCCTCTCAGAGGCATTTTTATTGAAAAAAACCTCTCTTCAAACTTGTCAAAAGAAAGTAGTTCAAGTTTGTCCCCGATCTCCGGGGATTGATCCCGGCACCCTCACACTTAAGTATGAGATACTAACTACAAACTCAACTTCTCAAAACCCTGTGTGTATATTTATTCGTAATATATTTTCACATAATTACTTTATAGCTTCATTCCCAAATAATGTTCTCGTTCATCAAAATTTTTATTTAGTAATATTTTTACAGCCAACGCCAAGCCCCAGGCGTTCATCTTTCAGCCAGCTGATGTTTCTCTAATGGTGTTCTTCCGCTTCCAAGCAGTCATGATTTAACAACAGTTTGAGTATTTTATGAAAGAATTATGTTAGCACATTATGTTATATAAATTCAAATCGAAAAGTTGTAAGTGACAAATGAAAAGAAAAACTGTTTTTTATTGTCTGATAAAACGTGAAGGTGTGCTATAGCTGTAATTTAAATACAATTTTATTAATTGAAACAAAACATTACATCTCAAATATAAATTATAAATAAATCAGTTTTTAAATAAGTCAGAGTGTGCTGTTGTAAAGTCTCCTACTTTTTAAACGTTTCTAACTTAAATACCCCCACCGCAGCAAACCTGCCGACTAAGGGAATTAAATCTAATTAAAACATGAGGTTTAACGAGTACCTAGGTTTGCTGCTACATGGAAAATAATAAAATGTGTTTTTGGTAAAATATTAATAGCTTAGTTTTTAATAAACAAATTTACCAAGTTTGATAAAAATATATCCATAAACGAGTGAAATACAACATTTTACAATATTGTCCAATAGAATAACATGGGAATTTATATTTACAATTGTTTCAATTTTGTCCGTTACCAATAACCGTACAAAACACTTTGATATACTAAATTGTTCAAATTGAAAAAGTAAATCAGTCTTGGGCCTAGGTCTTACCGTGCCACCTACGGTAATAGCATTGACTTTATATCTACACAGTATAGATATAAAGTCAATAGTAATAGCTACTTCCCTAAAGGGAAATTCTCTAAACATAGCTACTTAAAAAATAATAAAAGTCGTATTCATACATCTTACTAGATGTATGAATACTACTTTTATTATTTATTATTATTTATTTTACGCTACACTTGGTGGCGTGAAATACGTAACGAGAATATAACAATAGTAGCACATTCAAGATACGTAAGATAATATGAAACATTTCACCCACCTCTAATTCTACCAACTGTTGCTTTCCACTTGACAACAACAACTTAGAAGATCTTAAACTCGTTTGTTTATATCTACAAAACTTATCAACAAATTGAAGTCAACCTGTTGCTCAAAACATAGCCATGTATTTTGGGTTAATATAACTCATTAATGTTCAATAAATTAATCAAGTTGAGAGATTAGTCTTCTTTGTTTATCTAAAACTATTTATCTTTCAACGGCTCATTACAAACTAATTTAAGAAGTGAATGTTGACAAATTGATGGTTTAGTTTAACTATAACTTCTTGGGATGAATATAAGTTATATGGTAGCCAGTTTGACGAAACCAAATATCTTTCTATATCTTATAACCCACATGAAACTTTTTAAACAATAAGATTTTTGTTTAATTCCCTACAAGATTACATGCAAACTTTGCAAAATATTTTGATTATAATCGGGGAACATACATTTTAGCAGTACAAGTTACACCACATTTTCACTCCGATTAATGTATAAGCACTGTAAAAAGTTAAAATATGCATGAATTCCTTAATTTAAGCTTTTTAATGTTTTTTTCATTGTATCAATAATTTTACAGAAGCCCATGGGTAACAGCTAGTTTTAGTAAGTGTTTTAAACACATTGTTCACGCCGCTGAAATGACAGATATTCACATAATGCCTTGAAGGCTGCAATTGTCACGAATCCTAAGGGGACTGTTTGAGGAATTCTTCCAAAACAGAGTCATCTGTCACAAAAATTGTTATTATCTAGATACTCGTCCTCGAGTAGCTGGGGGTTTTAAACAAACATAAATTAATAAAACATCAAGAAAAAAACCGGACACTATGACTGTAATAAAGTGGCTGTCTTCATAAACACCCTGTAAATAATAATAATCTGAATAGTAACAAGTTTAGTGTATATTAATATCCTCTCGTGTTGAACTACGTTACTCGTCAAAAATATATTTTACTTGTATTCTGTCAAGAGATCCTTAAATCTATCCACCGTAGAGGAGGTTATAAAATGGCCTGACAGAATCGAGAAAATATACTTTTTATTTATACCGTGTTGTAAATATTTTTTAAGTGCAAATAAGTAATTTTCCCTACTTGATCGATTTTTTTAGAGGGACCTTTTAACCTTGCAGTTGCCCGTCTACATAGACGACTGTTCTGTGCGTGGAACGTATCAAGCAGAACAAGGGGTGAGCCGGTACAGAACAAATGTAAACTGTACTGATAAAATGTTTTCGGCAGTGACCAGGATCCGAACCCACGACATCACTGCCGTGACGCTACCAACTGAGTCACCGACTCACCTAATAGATAGTTATTGTAACATATGTATGTCCTTTAACGACTCATACATATTTAGGCCTACAGTATGAGTTAATATACACACAGATATTATCTTACATCCTTAGTATTGTCAGATAAATCTAATAAAAATCTTAACTAAATAAGGTTAAATATACTAAGCCAAGTGATACACAGGTGACATTTATTATACTTTCCATGTTCTAGATCCATAAAACCAGTAGCTATCACATAGTTAGACTTTTTAATCAAAGCTTTTTAATTTGAATGCCTATTTTAGATTTGTTTAAACAGTAAATGCATTGCCTAACTCAGCCTTGTTAGATTGGTCGAGGCTAAGATTATGAATTGCCGATATATATTTCAAGCAAATTCGTTCCTATCAACTGGCAAATCAAAGGCTGTGTTTGTCATTGCTTGATATAAAATCATTTCGCCTTGATACCTAATAAATTTAACAATATGCTAGTACCCTGTTCTTTGTCCTATTGCCGAGATCCGAGATCACCAAACATATTTCTTGTTCCAATTCAGCATATCATATTGAAGTTTTAAACAAACAACATTAAACACTAATGATTTTTAATTTTTTAATATTATAATGAATAATTGTTTGTAGCATAGAATACACTATAGGTACATTTTATATGTAAAAACTGTTCGAAAGACCAATTAATCACACAGTAAGAGTGGTGTCATTACCTCGCTAAACAAATTACCACCATCCAAAGATGATGGGATCAAATTGTCATCCTCAAGGTACAGTATTTAACGAACCACCCCCTAATGAACGAGTTGGTACTGAAATCTTTGATCATTTCTGTGCTTTATTTTTTTTAAATTTATTACGGTATTGACAATGTTATATCCAGAACTAAAATAGTAACTAATCAAAATACTTATATTTATTTTAGAAGTAAAAGAACTCCTATTAAGAACAAATGTTTACAATTCAACCCTTTTAAGTAATCGAACTAGCTTCTTGTCAGTTAGGCTTTTATGTGTTTTGCTCAACTGTTCTTTGCATCGCTTTATGAGGTTCGAATGCTTTTCAACTAGTTCATGAAACAATCTGCGTTAGAATGTTGAAATTACTAAATATATACTAACTCTTCCTGAATGTTGTGAAAAGGTCAATAATCCTCTGTTTAAAAGTTTTGTGCTTGATAATCATCCACCTGTAGATTAAGGTTTTAAAGAAACTAACTAATTAAGGTATGTATTATTTTTTGTTCGCCTTAATTTCCTGTCTTATTTTCGCCTAGGTAACTTCCGTTTACTTTGTCCAACCTGTATTTATCTTATATCGTCTGAGTAAAATCATTTTTTTTTAAATAAACTCTCCGATTTGCTAGAGGAGATAGTTAGCAGGAGGATCATGATCAATAATAAACCTCACCTAAATAAACTAGCTATTGTCAATTACGTCAGAACTAAAGAGGGTGAGTTAGATTTTCAAATTTTCAACACCTCTAGTAAATTATGTTTTAAACCACTTTCGGGGTGCAAGATTAACAAAAATAGCCTACAAATCAGATAAACTTACAGGACTGTTTATCGAATAATTGTATTCAACTTTGCACAAAGTACACTAAACATCCATATTGTTTAATAATGTAAAATCCTTCATCATAGTAACAATATACACACCCAACTCTAATAATTTCCACATTATAAACAGCAACTCAATACCATACTTACAAATTAATTTTAATCCATTATCCGACCGGCACTAGTTTTTTTTATCGAAACGAATTAACTACATGACCGCACTACAATACTACCCTTAAGTTAAGCCACTCCCTCGGCAATAAACGCACTATTTAAACCGTGACGTCACACACCTCGGTCTTGGACCACCGGACGGCACCGACTGACTCCCGTGGATGCTGAGCGTCCCGTCGTCATGGCAACCGTCTGCGCACCTCCCTCGCCCCTCCCGGCATCCCCTTGCACTACACCTGCAAGTTGGGCTGGACCATCAATAGCATAATTAACCTAATTCTTGATTAGAATTTGAGTTGGAGGGTATGGTAGGAATTTAAATATACCTATGAAATGTTTCAACGCTTTTGTAAACATGTTTCCAAGAAGGAAAGCATATATACAATATTGTACAGTGGTGATTGGTTTTAACGTACGAAGGCTATCATCAGGTCCAATCGGAGGGAGACAATTGTTTTAATTAGGTGTAAAAATGACTTGACTCGTCAGAACTGTAAGAGTATTGTGACATATTATACTTGAAAGTGCAAATATCCGTCAAAAACACTTGTAATAATATATTTACAGTTATACTGTCTACTCACAAGACGGTAAATACATATAAAGATGTTAAGTGGTGACCCATTTTGATTGCACACTCCAATCATCATCAGACCCATTCGGTTGGTGTGTCTAATCGAAATCGATCACCCCTTACCATCTTTTATATGTATTTACCGTCTTGTGAGTAAACAGTATAAGTGTAAATATATTATTACAAGTGTTATTTAACGAATATTTGTACTTTCAAGTAATTTAATAACATGAACTATGCTGATCAAGAAGTTATTTTGTTTGTACTTATTTTTACTAGATTTTAGAGGTTTACATTATGATTTTAAATATATAAAAATGTGTTGGGTGACTTATTTTCTTCTATAATCCTTTCTTTATAGTTCACTTTGCAAATAATAAAACACTTTTTAATACATAGATTTAAAACAGTTGAAAAATATTGGAAATATTTTAATTCGTTGAATAAATATTTTTGTGCACATTTATCAATCAGTATATTTTTTAATTATAGCCATTTATTTAATGCATTTTGAATGTTCATAACTTGACTTGCAAATCCCGTAGATGCACTTTCATCATACAAAACAGTGAACAAATTATACAGTCATTAGTTATTTTTAGTCGAAACCGTCGGTTAAAATCCAGATTATCAAGGGATTTATATCGAGTATTGAACGTTCAATAGCTAAAAACCTTTAAGATTGAACCATGAACCCAGTTGTTGAGTCGGTGGCTCAGTTGGTAGCATCACGGACTTCGGGCCCAAGGCAAAGATGTGGGTTCGGTCCTGGGCACTGCCGTGATAGCTATTTACCTTACAAGTGTAGTAAGAGCGTTTTTACATCACGCAGGTGAATATTGTGACACGAGCGGAAGCGAGTTTCATAATTCACCTAAGTGATGTAAACACAAGAATTTACCTGACCCGACAATATACAGGGGGTTACGTACAATATGTTTCATTATCCATTTCACTCATTTTCTTTTTTTACATTTAATTTAATTTACAATCTCTTCAACAAAAATAGAACAATAAGTAAATATGATAAAGTTTTAATACAGGAGTTAGTCTGTATCCAACAACAAAGCTAACACACAAACTTTGCATATTGATACAAAGTTTTAAGTCCATAAATTTTTAAAAACGACAACTTAGGTCCAAAACATGGCATTTTTTCAATCTATATACGCAGTGATGTAAACACGCTCTTGAGTAACGTGTAACGTACATGATTTTATACAGGGGGCTACGTACAATATTTTCCATTATCCATTTCACTCATCTTCTAACAGAAAAGTTTTTTTTTTTTTTGCAATCAAAAGCAAGGTTAGGAAAACACTTTAGCATAACAATAATATTTAAGCGCACAGCTGATTTATAGCGTTGAACGTCGTTGATTCCATAGAGGTATAGTTTAATAAGTTGAGAACTCAATATTATTTGAATGGGTTTCATTACTTCACCGAGTTAGTTTTCGAAACTTTACATCACGCTTGGGATAGGGAAGTTTAACATGGCGAGTTGGGTAATAGCTATTTACCTTACAAGTGTAGTAAGAGCGTTTTTACATCACGCAGGTGAATGTTGTGCAACGAGCGGAAGCGAGTATATTTTTTTAAGTTAAGCACTCAATGTTATTTAAATGGGTTTCATTTCCTCACCGAGTGAGTTTTTCTCAACTTTACATCACTCGAGAAGTAAAAAAGTTGTATACATCACGCTTGGGATAGGGAAGTTTAACATGGCGGGTTGGGTAAACATTTTATCAGTACAGTTCACCTTCGTACTGCCCCGACCCACCCCTTGCTTTGCTGGATACGTTCCAAATAAATAAAACAGTAAGATTAATAGCTTCGTTAATCTTGTCCAGATTCTGCTCATCATACTAAAAATGTAGTATTGACTTATTGCATACAGAAGTTGTATCAAGTCAAAGATTGTACTAAGTTTACGTTATTATAACGATCCAAAACCATGGATAGTGTTTTAGCCTCAAATAATGTTTACTGCACCATTTTTTTGGTTTAAAAGATGGGTTTGAAACATATATAGAATTAGATATATTTGATTGCATATAAGTTTAATTTATGACAAATTTAGTTAGTTATTAGTATAACACTACTATCAAGTATTTTTATCTCGCGTAACTTATTGATAAAACTACTTCGAATTTGTATCCATTGTATGTACGAACTGTGTAATTTTATCACAAAATGTACTGTTGAACAAAAGATGGATATAGAGGAGTTAAAGATTTACGAAAGAAACAAGAAGAGTGGTAGAACTGATGGGGGTTTTGCAAGGAATGACTTTCTTTATCATTGGAGACTCCATTTCACATGAAAAATGTCTTACTATAACCCTAAGAACACACAACACATCTCTGCCAGAAACCGAGTCTCCTACGTTGTTATATTTCATGTAGTTTCTTAAATGATGTCTTCTAGCTCCCAGTTGAAAATAAATTGGTTTGCTGATAACAATAATATTTTCCATAAAAATTCAAATTATTGAAAGTTTAACTTTATTTATAACAGGTCTTTTCATATTTTCAAGGTATCAAGAAGGACTGAAAGATATTAATGTTTAAATTGAATATTAAAATATTTATTAAGGAAATTACCTTATTCACTGTATAAAAAAACAAATACTGTACGTAGCTTTGGATTTTAATTTTTCCAAAGTATATATCATACTAGCTGCTGTACCCGTGCCTTACAACGGGAACAAAAATTAGTTGCATAATCATTGAAATAGATTTAAAGTAAATAATCTATCATAAAGTTTTAGATTAAATAATCCTACCACATAGTTGTGTAAAATATATTTTCTTTGGGTCAGCTGTCTGAAATTCTATGAGCATTTGTCAGTTATCATTGTTTAAATTTCAATATCAATGCAAAGGTAACATTGTGAATTTTCTCATGCTTCCATGGAGACCAAATAACATTTTTACTTTTGAAAACCTCACCTAAAAACTTTGGACGTCAAAGGGGCGTAGCCCGAGAGGAAATCAGGTAAGTGAATAGGCCTATGACGTTTCTAGATATGTGGACCATATTTGTGCTTAATTTTGGCTTTATCGGTTTAGTATTTTAGTAGTGAGAGCTGCCCAGACAGATAGACAGACAGACACCACCTCAATTTTATAATAGTATAGATGCTTTATTTTCAAAGCTATAATTTAATTAAACTCAATACAGCTTAAAACTAATTTTGGTGTTCCAATAAACATAATGCTTGATCATCAAAAACTACCTCTGTGAATATTAATTTAATCTTACAAAGGTTAAATTAATCCTGTATAAACCACACACACAACGGTCTCCCATGGTTTTAAAATTGTTATATAAATAAATAAAATTGACTGTGTAATATTTTATGTATTTAGTTTGAGCTACTTCCAAATCATTTTTAGCTGTCATTTTGTTATTAGTTGTCAGATTTATATTATCGTTATGTTAACTGTTTAGTTTTATCAAGACCTGTAAAATTACGAGAAAAAGTTTTTAAAGAAACATGCCAGCCTATTAATATATAGATTCGTTGTTTGTATATGCTATTTATTTATAAAGTATATTTTAATTTTGATTATTTTTATGTGTTTGTTAGTCTATTCATTTTAATTGTCTATTTGATTGATTTATTTTTTTATTGAGTTTACTTGAATTATATTATTTATTTTGTGTATCATATATTTATATTTCAGCTGGTAGGGTGTCCCGCGCTAATGCCCCCCCCCCCACTATCCGTCTGCTCTCTTCTGTCTGTTTCAGTCAACCAATGACAAACGACCTGCCGCAGCCGCAGCTATCTCACGTCAAGTGCAGAGATAAACATTTACCTCGTACCATCCGCAACGTCAAATAGTCCGCTCATTATTAACAGTTTGGGTTGTCAAAGTTTATGATAAATTACTATAAGTTTTATGACAACAGATGATTTATTGGTGTTTCCATTAGACAAATCAACTAAAATTAAGAGTTTAAATTATATCAAATCAACTGCTGACAATTAATAGAGGTTTGTCTAACTAGTGTACGAAGTGGCACTTTACTATACACGAGAGAAGTTTTTACGCACGAGCTGTAGGCGAGTGTGGAAAGTTTATCGAGTGCAACAAAGACAGTTTGCACTCGTGTTACACATTATATTTTTCCTACAGTTACTATAAAGCATATAAATGATTAGTATTTCAAAAACTGTACAACATGTTTTTAGGTTAGGTTAAATCCAGGCATTGAACGAAATGGGCAACGCTGCACCAGCTGATCGTAGCCGTAATATATTTAATTGTTGCCAACTTATTTTCAAGCGTACACATAATACGTGCTTAATAAAAGTACGCAGTTTCTAGTTGTATGGTTGGAATAGTGGATTGCGGCAAAAAAAAAGAGTGCGACAAAAGTAAAAAAGTGCGGAAAAAGTAATTATAGGCATCAATTAGCAACTTTCTATGCTATATAATCAGTGCAAGTAACGCCACTTTGCCAGGTGACTGTAAGAAAAATCTTATTTATTTATCAT